AAGAGAAATTGTTTCTGAGATGAATTGTTTCTGTTTCTAAACATTTTTACATGCCAGAGAAAGGCGAAACGTTCTGAAATATTTTGCGAAATAAATGAAATAATTTGCTAATATCCGTTACAGAGTCGAGAAAGACTGTAAGCAGCGAAGAGGTAAGCTTGGAAGTAAAAAATATTCCCTTGGTGAGTGGCCTGTAAAATATAAGATTTACGAGACACGTAGCAAAGATTCTAGTTACATACGTGTACCATTCGTTCAAGTGTGCTGCGCATGAACAGCTTTCCTACCAACTTGTATATTTTCCTTGCCGAGCTCGTTGTGATTTCTACCCTTAGCACGTAGTAAAGTTCTGAGGAAACAGCAAACTCGCGTGTACCTCTATGTACATACGTATTTGTTTTTCCGTTTCACGTGATTTACAACCTTAACGATGGTAACGTAACTTCCTCACGTCTTTCGGAACGCAAAATATACAAAAACTATCGCAAATACGAAATAAATTGTTTGATAATGATTTACAAGAAAGCGGTTTAGGAAATCTGACTTTTATATTAATCAGTACACATGTACTGTTGATATTTTTTAATCTGTGTTGAATAAGATTAATAGGAAACCAGCATCGTTCAATTACATAAAACTACTAGGATAATCTAAATTATAGTGAATGGTGAACGTTCGAATGTTCAAATTTACATTTTGATTTAACAGTTTCGTACAGCCAGTATTTTCTAGTGTGTACGAGTATTTAACAACTAATCAACACTGAACCCGTGAACGTGAAATATCGTGCACATATGCAAATTACGGGACACAGATTATATATTCAAGTAATATATATTTCTCACACGCCGCAACGTCAGACTTCGGGGATGCAGGAGCTATGTGTGTACTTTACACTTCGTATCTCGAAATCCGAACGACAACTATGCAATGCTGGCGCATGTTGCCTTGCAATTCAACAAATACACAACAAACATTTAGGCAAGACAATTAAGACGTAAACAGTCTTTATCATATTACGAGTTCGCGTTATAAATCCAACATGAAACTTCGTAATTGAGCAGATAATACATGAAGTATGAATTATGTATCAGTTACTTATTAATAGAATTAAAAATTTATACTGTTTTAACTAGTTAAGCTACGGTGAGAAACATTTTGGTTCCTGACCGAGTTTCTAACAAGAGTTACGTGCATTTAAGACATAAATAAACATAAATGGAAGGAAACAATAATATTAACACTAAACGTACCATGAGTTTTAAAATTTGATTTAAAATTTTGCGTTTCTTCGTTCATTTAACTTTATATCAATTCCTATACTGTCCGATTAATCGGTTTCTGATTTCTGTTTTTCTTTCTGTTTCTGTTCGCAATAGAAAAAATGTATCTAACTTTACCTTTATTTTACAATCATTAATTTGATTTATTGCGGTAGGAATAAGTATGTATAAAGTGTCGGTACATTTAGAAAATAATAGTTGTTACATCAAGAGAATAATGTGACGTTAAAATTAAAATTTTAATGATAAAAATTTCATTCTGGGTCGAACTAATTTCTTATTTTTATGCTGTTGTCAACGCTCGATAGGACTAATTCGTTTAAATCAGTGGAATCGTCATTTCGCCAGCAGGGACACCTGTTACATGATACTATTCCTTATTTGCAACGAATATTTACTTCCGATCAGCCCTTCCTCGTCGGGCCGAGCGTGTGTTGATAGAAATGTCGTCAGAAAATGTAGGGCGTGGTTTCGATATGTGCCAACGTCAAATACATCTTGAATATCTCCGAGTCTTACTTTGGACTCGTTGAATACCTCCGAGACTTATATTCAAAAAGATATCAGCGTTGCGAGTCAAGTGCAGCTGTGCGTTCTGTTGCCGTAGTACATGCACTTGACGCGTGAGAGAGTAGGAGCGAAGAAGGTTAAAAAGTAGGGAACAAAAACTTTTCAACGCCACATGAAAGATTTACATACTTTCTCATCCCTGCGACGAAAATAGTCGCGTTTATCCTTCATTACTGCGCACGGCGCCATAGAGCTGTGCAAATTCTGCCATGAAAGGACTTAAGGGAAATGATGAATTTTTAAAATATTTGACATGTTTACGGAAATTTTGTTCAGCTGAAGCTGGAAATATTTAAAGAATTTATCGCCACGCTGTGGGATAGTTTGTATACGTACGTAAATTGTTAACGGTTTATGAATAGTATTATTGTTTTATTCGTGATTGCTTGTATCATTGTTTTTTAAATACCGAATTCAGTGACACTTATGAATACAGTTTAAATAATATCCTTTTATTTTCATAGAAAGGTGAATTTCTCTAATACTACTAATAACAATAATATTGAATTAGTAATAGAAAATAGCAGGCTTTAAAAGGACAAGGATTATATTATAAACTAAAGTATACTTTCTTTAGATAGATGAAACTTCTCAATTTATGAAAACCGAACACTTGCGATTAAAACATACACACTCATCAATTCGAAAAATTCCAAGTACCAACGAAAGAACGCTTCAATCTTGAAAATATCAATACATCAAGGCGACCATTTTTTTCTGCATGTTCGGAAGCACACAGTTCCGTACTTCAAATATTCAATCCAGTAGAAATTTTAGAGAAGTAGCATTGCTTCCGAAAAAATGGAAAAAGGTGATAGACAAATAAATGGATCAAAAATTGAAATTAAAAATACTGTGCATCTGTTACGGAACAATAAAACGAAAGAGACTTTCCCGACAACCTAATACATCTGAGTCTCGATTTACGCGAATGAGAATCGCGTAAATAGAGTCTATCGGTACAAGAGAAAAAATATAGAGAAGACATTTCAAGCATTCAAATTTCGCGCGCTTCTAAGGCAGTGCTTCTCAAAGGATGCAAAATGTTTCATTCTGCAATTATTAAAAAGATAACAAGCTTCTCTGAGAAATTATCAAAGAAATTGATTTAGCAGCCACGCTGAACTGTAAATCAATTAAAGTCTCGATAGACTCTTGGAGTTTCTACAGAAAAATTTCGAAAAGTCAATTGAACTGTTGGTAGTTTCAGTGTTAAACACTGTTGAACAATGTGTTAAATCGCTGCCTAAAAAGGGGAGTCGCGTTGAAATGCGCCACGCGAAAGGGCCGAGTGTGTTCTTCCGATTGAATGCTGTTCGGAATCGATCTCGCCGGAAAGGCATTCGGCCGTCTGAAATATTAATTTCTAGATCGCTAAACGGCAATCAAGGGCACGCGATTAACTGACACGCGATGCCGCATCTGTTCCGTTGTAATTGTTGACACAGGTCGCAAGCAAGCGAGCTGGGGCGGGGGCAAGGGGCAGCCGGTCGATTTGTCAATCGGGCAAAACATCATCGGGGAATCGTTAACTGCGAATTTGGGTCATTGCAAAGCCGTTCTTGCTATACGGCTCAGCAGAGGTTCTGAATGAGGGCGAGGATTGGCGAGAGAGGCATAAGCCGTTGGAAATGAGCAACGACAAGCGTTTTAAAGCGCGGTTCGAAACCTCCGGAAAGGAAATATTACGGCAGTCTACCCTAATAAGGGCGCGCCACTTCGGTCGCTCTCCTGTCGGGGGGTGTATACCTGTTGCCGTGACTCTATTAATAGTTCCAGTTGATAAGAATCTGTTATGACCACGATTCGAAGTTGGAAATAGTTCCAGCGACCGTAATGCTTCTTTCGCTGGAACTTCGAGCATTTGCATGGCGAACGCCGGCGGTCGTTGTTCGATTTAAACGGCGATCAAATTTCCGTTGTTTAACGCTAGAACTACTGTAACAGTGAGAACGACTGGTTTCAGTCTTCTTGTTTTGCGATTCTTGTTGCTCTGAGGTATAATTGATAACATACAGATTGATTACGAATATTTCATTTGAAATCGGGAGGATTGAGTAATATGTAAGCTGCTCGTTAGCGAAATCGATTGATTCCACCTTCTGAGTTTTTTTAAGATTTATTTTCAATCTTGTTGAGTGTGAACTTGTACTTTTAATATTATTAATATTGTAATTATTATTATAATAAGATATATATACATATTTTTTATTATTATTATACTAAGATATAATTTTTTAAAGCGCGGTACTTTTCCAAATAATTTCCAACGTTCTGTAACAAATTTGTATTGTCATCTCCAGCATGACCTGTGAGAGTCAAGGGTTAATCGCTTAGTTCCAGCGTTAATCTCGCACGAAAGCGCTAATATTTTGACGGCTGGACTCTTGTTTTTCTGATTGGGAATTTTGTATATTTTAGAAAGAGTTATTATGGGGATGAAGGAAAGTTTGGAAAGTAAGCAATAAAAGAAAAATATCGTAGTCTGGAATATAGACATTCTGTTTACAGTAACATGACTCTATTGTCTTTCATAGATATTATATATTAAATTTTGACAAGTTATACGTTTCTCTGATTTTGTATTTATGAGATGTGTTCGTTACATTTGTACGCGCACTGATATTTTGTTAATATTATATTGATATTTCATATTTATTACTTGTAGCTTTTCTTGTGCGTGTTAAACATATTGTACTTGTTGGATAAAAATATATTTTCTGTCGTACTACTTCTGAACAAATATTTTATTAATATAAAAGCAGGAAAGAATGCGTTCGTATAAAGTATTTGGCGATTGTGTTGGTCAGTCCATTTTTCGATTGCACTTTTCAAATTTCAATTTCAGTTATTCAAGGATTCTTGAATAATTCCTGTATGACTGTTTACAGTTTCAGATATGATGAAGTGACTCTTCATATGGTTGCAATTTTTGGTTTAAATTCTTTGTGTGTATTTTGATGTATAAATTTATACAAATTGAATAAATTCTTTCCAATATACGACCACTGAGCAATATTAGATTTATTTATTCGTTGGAGTTTAACGATCAGTTATTTTAAAAACCGTTGACTCTCGTTAAAATATATTTTATAACTTTTACACAAATTTCATCAAACATTCATTCCGAAAAGTTTGGGAACTCACCAATTTCAGCCAAAGGTTCGTGATGAGAAGTTGATTCTTCTCGTCCTGAAACATCAAAAACATTTATCTCGTTAATTCATACAATTATTCAGTGTTTTATCAAAAGCAAACTTTAGAGTAATAATCTAACATCAAAGAAAGTTAAGAAAAACATGTTCCATGCCATCAGAAATACGAGTATCTAACCCTAAAACAACCATACCTAACTTCATACTTCATCAATAATTTCATATCGCTTACCAAAATATAGAATTTATTGTATCTTTATTTAACGAACTAATTGAACTAAATTATATAGCTTATAAGTATCTTTAAATTAATTTACATAAACCATCTGAATACTTAAGATTTCTTATATGATTTACTTTTCACCTTCTCCCACAGTGATCCAATGAACAACATACCACTGAGAAAATACAATATTCAAACTATTAATTAATATGTAAATATCAATTCTCGTAGATCATTCTCCAAAGTTTGGAATGAAAGCGGAATTTATATTTTATAAATAATAGAAATAACATAAAATCTATATAAAATTCATTTTTTATGCTCCATGCGTTTGCATTTGTTTTATAAGATATATTCGTACTGTGTAAACGTTACACAAATACTGTTCAAGTCGAAAATCCTAAGGCACGTCAGGTAACATTCATGCTCAGCAATGTCACCCGAGCGTCTCGCATTCGTGCTGTCTCCGTTGATGCACTGCTCGAGTATCTCGATTTCGTTTCGCCCGACGTTCAAATTGTTAAACGTATCACGTAAAGCAATAGGTTCACGGTGTCGTGCCGAATCGCATTCTTTCTCCGATTACAATCGTCTTTCTTGCATGGAAGAGTTATAGCTATCGCATCTCGGATTTGAAATCTCAAAAAATTATTCAACAAGAGAAATATAAACTATTTTGTAAATCATTTGAATCAAAGATGCATGATTATAAATGAAAATTATATTTCGGTCGATTTTGATTTAAATTTCACACAATTTTCACACAATATCAAAGACATGTTAGACTTCCTTGATTATTAATAAGATAAAAAATATGTTCACAAGTGCATAAAGGAGCGATACATCAAGTGAGACACGTGATGAAGATATTACACCGAGTTTAATAAATACAAAGATATTATTCATTTCTGTTCAGTAGAAATGAAACTCTTTTTTCCTGTTGTGAATATTTAATCTCCAGAGTGAACGTAGATTCGCAATTAACATGAAATTCCTTCAGAGGATTATTAACGACGAAGTAGCTTCTACAGACGTAATTCCGGAAGAATGAATATAATTAATTGACGTTTCATTAAACTTCTGTAATTATCTGAAATAATTCTATTTTAGTACGAGTATAAATTCTCAGCGTTTCAACACATCGCGTACATATAATTTACAAAATAATTTTTCCCCGTTGAATATCGCGTAATACATCACTGTTGTCTTGAAAAAAATTAATTAATCAGTTCGCGTAAAAGTTAGTTCTATAATAGTTGTAGCAAAAAGAAAAAGATTTCCGTTGCCCAGCCCTTAATTTCCCGCTGTTCAAAACTGCGCAAAATGCATAATTTTTGTGTTCAACGCCAAGAGAGAATCTATATAGATTGCTGCAAAAGTTTGAGGAATCCGTCGCTCAGTTTGTTATTTTCGTGAAGTTTCACATTTTTAAATTTAGAAAATGCCAACACAATACGATGGAAAATATATCAACGTCGGAGGAAAATATTTTGAAAAACAGTAAAACCATTCGTTCTGAAAATAAATAAAACTACCAGACAGGTCAAAATTTCCAATTCCTGATTTTTCTTTCTGCGATTATTAAAAATATAACAGACATTTCTCTGAGAAATTCTTAAAGAAACTGGTAGGACAATACGCAAATTGAATTGTAAATCAATTAAAGTCTCAATAAACGCACCCTTGAAGTTTCTACAGAAAAACTTGAGAAAATCAATCCAACTGCTCGGTAGTTAGTGTTAATTTTCCCAAATTTCCATGCCCGACCAGGTGCGAAATTTGATCCCGTCCATTACGAATAAGACGCGCATTCGCGTGTGTTTCATATTAAAATCTGAATGCGACGATAATAACACAGAAACTTTCTAAATGGCCATCTCGGGTATTCCCACATAAATTCCATTTAAAATTTCATTTAGAAGGGACGAACGGGTACGTTCCTGTAATGCCGGTATCCCATTAACTTTAACCAGCACAATGCACTGTGAACTTTCGTAATCATTTTTTCCTTTCAGCTTTGCCGCCGTCCCGCCGAAAAAAAGGAAAGGGAGAAGGGAAGTTCATTTGTGAGGGAAAGCCGCCCTCCGTTTTTTCGACAGGGAAATTTCGCGACGGAGGAATGCAGCTCTCGTCTTCCCCCCTCGTTATCTTATTTATCGAGCCCGGTCGGGATTACTAACTGGGTCGGGGCAATTAATAAAACGCAATAAGCTCGGTAACTCTGTCTTTGCCGGGACCAGCGGCGAGCAGGAAAGAAAATCTCGGACGGTCGTTAATAACGACGAAAAATAGCCCGGCTCGAGGCTACCGCCGCTCAGATATCATTCAGCTTCGACAATTACCTTGTAATCATTTAGCGAATTCCGCGGCGATTTATGATTCGCTTCTCCGCGGATTTCGGACGATCGCATCAATCACGCGAACCAATTACACCGGACTGTCTACATGGTAGATACAGCGGGCGTATTTTATCCTTTAGTACCCAGCTCTTGTACCCTGATTTTTTTTCTGTCACGAATTGTTGATGGCTCGTCGATTAAAGTGACACTCTCGCACGGCGCTGAGTTAAGGGTAATAATATTTTTAGGAGACTGTGGATCTGCGAATTTATGTTTTTAAGATTGTTGGAGATTCAGAAGTATGTTTAGTTATCAACGGAACTTCGTAAGTTTGAGAAACCGTTGATTGCTCGTTGATTAAGGTGACAGTTTTACGTGACGCAGAATTGAAGGTGATGATTGGGATTTATGAATAGAAATATATTGTTTAAAATGTAGCATAGGATTTTTGGAATTTTAATTATTATGTAAACTTCTATTAAAAATGTAAATATTTAATGAATTAACACATCCAAAGTTTAATTCAAATTCTTTCAATTTACTTTTTACAGCTAATTTCGATTGAGATATATTATAATTTTCATTATAACTGAACTCGATATTCTTCGATACAATGGTGAAAGCATAAATGATCATAATGCACAACTGACATTATTTTCATCATTCCGAAACACTATTACACGAATGATTGGGTGCTGGTATTGCCTACTAAAGCAGATTACAGAGCGGTTGAACAAAACTTAAGCTCGGCTTAGCGTTTAGTTTACCGCTGGTTCAGTATCCGCAGTAGTATAAGATTTAAATTGACCCTAAGCTCCCTCTTGTGTATAATGATTACACTGCTACAATGCAGTGTAGATGAGCATTAAAATTAATAGAACACTTGAAACATTAATAGTTGTGATATTCTATCGAACTATGCGGCTGTTTCGGTTTAATTTCGAAACGAACATGAGAAATTAATTTCATTCACAATGAGTGGATGAAATGAATGAGTGAATTTTAAGATTTCGATGATCCGAATTTACTTAAAAAATACTTAAAATATTTTAATCCCTGCAAACCGAACGAAGAAAATAAAAAAGAATTGTATAAATTAAATTTAACTATACAAAATAATTATGAATTAATCAACCAAGAACACAATACTTATAATTACTACTGAAAACCATTATAAGAAAAATGTATTCTTCTTCTGTTGTACAATAAATTAATCTTACGAAGGTACTGTTCAAAATTCGAAATATAAATTTATTATTATCTTATCGGTGTGTATACACCATGAAACAATGTGACATCTTATTGATCACAGTAGTAATCCCTACTATTTAAAATATAAAATTCATCAAACTTATATATTCCGTAATTAAGAAATCCAACAAATAAATAAATTTGCTATTCACCCCTTGCCTTATGTCATCGAGTCAGATTCGATAAAAATTTCACATTGAATTTAACAAAACAAGATCTTATTTCCTTTTCTCCAATATAAATTAAATATCACTTCCTTATTATCAATCGTTAGCTTCTATAGAAAACATAGAATGAACAATAAATTCTTTTTCTGCTATAATAGATTATTCACCATAAAGTATCTTGATCAAGCAGAATTGCGAAAGAAATCATAGGTCAGGGGGTTAATTACAGAATGAATATGAACACTTCTTTTCCATCCGGGATGTTCAGTATGTGTCGCCCTATCTCTCTGCTGATTACAGCCATTTTACGGTGGTTTCCTCCGTTGACCCGTCACCATATATCGCGAAGTTAACAATTGGTGCTTCATCCTACTTCACGACGTCGAGCGCGGATGTTTCTGCTGTGTCGGTCCATTCCCCGGAAAACTACGCAGGGGTAGATATCCGGCTTATCCTTTCACCTGGCTACGAGATAAACTGTTTTTCGATAATTGGATCTTATCGTTTGCTTTCACCTCTTTCAATGGGCCCGCGGAAACCATTCGAAACCCCGGTTTAAATCTTTGCGGCTGCACCCAACGGTTGCTGCATAATTTACCATGTCGTTACAACTTCTCATCCCTATCGGGATTTTAAACTTCACACGTTGCCTGCGGCCACTTGCGATCACTTCACCCTTTTGTTCCTGAATATGTATATTTTTGATATGAATTTCTTTATCGAGACTTACGGCTGCGCAATAATCAGCTAAAACACATGTATCGCTGATTAGGATTTTAGGATTAGCGTTTAAGATTTCAACTAAAAAAAGTAAGGAATCAATCGAGCTCACTGACGATAAAATTTCAAAAAGTTCGAAAATTGGAGTTAACTGGTTTGGCCGATGAGCAGCTAGAGAAAACTGTTTGGAACAGACTATCATTTAGAATTTCTAATTATACAGTTACACTGGATGCACATGTTCGAAACAGTTAATGAAACAATTCAGTATACCGTAAGCAGCTTTGTCACACACTCACGGGAACCAGGCACATTCACTTGATCCCATTTACCTAAT